AACCTTCCAGAGCAAATACAGGGTATAAATATTTAACAACCATATTCTAAAATAAACTAACAGACTTTAGCATCATCCCTCACTTCTGCTTTAACTCCTCTTTTGTAAAGCTAACTTTAAACAAGTTGTATCATTCCTTGCTCATTCAGTCAAAAGCTATCTGGAGTTTCTTAGTCCCATATTTATTTTGAATATAATCAATCCATCTTCCCCATTCCAGCTTATATTTCTCGTCTGAATGATCCTTAAGATATGCTGATATTTTGGCCATCTCTCCTAAGTTTGTTACTTTTAATGTCCATTTTTGAATAGTAGGAAATCTTCCGTCTTCCAGTACAGCGCCACCAACAGTTTTGCTGCCATTGTCAGGTTCAAAATCAAATTAATCTCTACAGCTGTACAATCTGTAGTTATACCTAACAAGAATAACTGAGGGGTAAACTTTATCCTTTTTAAAAAAATATTTTGCATAATCCACCATACTTTTATCCAAAATGCTTTTAACCCTTTTGCAAGTCCACCATATATGATAATACGTAGCATCAACACATTCACATCTCCAGCATTTAGGTTGTAAATTCAGATACATGCAAGCCAGTTTTTTTAGGATCTAAGTGCCCGGTTTCTTTTTTTTTTTTAAGAGGTATTACGGGAAATCGCTTCCATTCGGAGCAGCCTCCTTTCAGGGGCCGAACATTGGCCTGCTGACCGTGGAGCAAGCTTTGGCCGATTACGCGGTTCTCATCGCGTGGCTGAAGGAGCAGCACCGGGCGCAGAGCGTGCCAGTCATCGCCTTCGGGGGCAGGTGAGGGGCGCTTCTGAGCAAAACACGGGGTTCCCCCAGGTGGCGACGAGGCTGTGATCCCTTTCGGTGAGCCCAGAAGCGCCCAGGAAAATAACAACTGTCTCATTCTCCTCCTGACAGTTACGGAGGGATGCTCAGCGCCTACATGAGGCTGAAGTACCCCAACCTGGTGGACGGGGCCCTGGCTGCCAGCGCCCCTGTGCTCTCCACCGCAGGGATTGGAGACCCTGGCCAGTTCTTCAAGGATGTCACAGCAGTAAGACAAGGGCTCCCTTTTTCCTGCTCATCGAAACACACACACCCCCCAGTGAATTTGAAATAACCCCATTCGTTTTCTGGCTCTGTTCGAGAATGTTGTCTCTCTTTCTCCCAGGATTTTGAGAACTACAGTCCAGCGTGTGCCAAGGCTGTGCGAGAAGCATTCAGACAAATCAAAGACCTCAGCCTGGCTGGAGGTAAAGGAAGGGGCTCCGAATGGGACTTAGTGCCCCCCCTTGGGGATGGACACATTTTAGGGTGTGAAGCTGTGGGCAGTTTGCAAATGGATACGGCTGCCTTACAGTGGACCAGAAGGGTTTCAACCCGAAAGGCAGTTTATTTACCCAGGCGGAGGAGACCAATCGCGGCACCCTTAAAACTCAAAAGGCGTCTCTCTTTTGGGTTTAAGCTTATGGGCGAATCACCACGAAGATGGGCCTCTGCCACAAGGTTTCCACTCCAGGGGACATCAGGCAGCTCTTTGAGTTCATCCGCAACGCCTTCACCATGATGGCTATGATGGATTATCCGTACGTGACTGATTTTATGGGCCACTTTCCAGCAAACCCCGTCAAGGTAAGGACTCGGCCCCCTTCGGATGTGGGGCAGCTGAGCCTCTCAGTGCAAAAAGAAAGAACCATTTTAAAATCATTTGTCAAGCTCCACACCCAAATTCTTTCACCTCTCTTTGCCCAAGATTGGTATGTTTGCCAAAGGGTAAGCAGCGAAACCACGCTCCTTGCTGGCTCTTTCCAGAGATCCTTACGCCAATAAAGTGACACCCCCGTCCCCTCCAGGGGGGTCCTTAATTCATGGAGCTACGCAAGGCAGTGCTAGAGAGAAATTGGGGCCCTGTGGCTTCCCCTCCCCCCCTTTTCATGACAATATCAGCCCTTGGGGATTTGGGCCAGGAAGCATAAGAGTGGTAACCAATGGGGTTAACGGCATGTTTTTAAGCTGGCATGAAACCAGAGGGGGGGGTTCAGCAGGTTCTGGCCAGTTCTGGAGAACGGTTCCACCACAAAACCGCGCTCGACTAAACCACGCTTGATTAAACTGCGTCGCTGACGTCATCAACAGGGCGACA